ATTATAATTGTTCAAGATATAATTAAGAATTGTAAGACGTCATAATTCCGTTCCAGATATCAGAGCGAGATGAAGATCGTGTGGCACGCGATCGACACGCGTATCAGTGATCTTTTAATTTATTAATTAATTTCAAACCAAAACTAATTATATTCAAAATAGAATTACTTGTTTAACGATAATTGCAATTAATTAATTGAAATGTAACTTTTGTCCCTTCTCTTATAGTATACCTAACTAGACTTTGATTTATATTACACGGAAAAAAACATTTAGCTGCTGTAGCTAAAACTTGGTAAAATAGGGACAGCTAATATTTTTAGTTGTGATAGCTCAATATTTTGCTACGACAGCAGCTAAATGTTTTTTTCCGTGTATGATTATTCAAGATATAATTAAGAATTGTAAGACGTCATAACTCCGTTCCAGATATCAGAGCGAGATGAAGATCGTGTCACGCGATCGACGCGCGTATCTGATGGAACTGGAGAGATCTCCAATTTTGATACCATCTTCCTAATCTCTTCGCGCGAATTTAAATCGACGTCGTCCGAGCGAGGCGATAAATCATTTCAATCGTGCAAATCGGATCGCGTTATCCGAGCCGGTTTCCCGGCTCTATAATTTAAACCGGCGGAGCGCCGAGATGATACTCGGCCGATTATTTCCACCGGTGTCATTGAAATCATTTACCGCGCCCGGCGGCGTAAGCCGTGTTCCGGCAAGGTCATGTATCAAGTTCCGCGAGCGAATTGCGCCACGCATCCGGGCTCCGGATGCATCCAGACTTTGAAAATTACCGGGCAACACGATACGCGGTCGCGTTGCCGGCTCGCAATCCCGCCGCTGCCCTGGATCTGAAGCTTACGTAAGACGTCGCGATTTTTTACATAGAATCCGCCTCAATGCGCTCCATTCGCGACGGGGTGTAATTTTTCCTTCGTCAGCGCGCGGTTTTTATTCGATAATGATACGTCTACGAGATCGGCTCGGTCCGATGCGTGCGGCGATTCGGGAGTGCCGTTACAATTTCTCGCGTCGCCACGATGAAACCACAGGCTTCTATATACTATTAGACTGCTACCCTCCAGCTGAAAATTGCGGCAAGAGTTCCACCATGTCTTGCTAGGTAAATAAAGTGGAATGTGTGCTCTATCGGTCTATCAGTGACACACATCGGTGTGCGTCGGCACACGTACTACTTTATTTACCTAACAAGACATGGCGGAACTCCCGCCTCACTTTTCAGCTCGAAGGTAGCAGTCTAGTAGCATACAGAAGTCAGTGGAGGAAACGTTGGTAGAATAGGAAAAGGTACTTAAAGAACGTTTTTAAAGGGGAAACGGCGCGAGAGGCGTTTTACGACGCTCAAGCTGCTCCGTAAAAATTGGAGGACAATACCGCGGACTCTTGGAGCTGCTCCGTCAGCTATTCCGACACTGACGTACTTGACGACGCGCGAAATAATCGCGTGCTCTTATCACGGTTGTGCTAATCGCGGCAAACACGTCGCGACTGTGTGGTCCATTTATTTGACATCCGCTTTATTTATTCTGACCTCATATCCACTGGCAACATCTGCGCGAACTCTTTTTTTTTCCTTCCCCCTCTTCTCTCCTTTCCCCTCCTGCTCCTCTGCGCCTCGCTTCGTAAAACTACTTGAACGCGTGGAACTGGATACGATATTCACGTCACGATTACGTGCAATTTGCATAATAGATTGATGCATTTATCGCGAGACTCACCGCCGCCACTTTTGTAGCATAAGTAGGGAAATCTCCAGACGTTGCCGAGACCGACGGAGTAGCCTATGCAGGCGAGCACGAATTCCATCTTGTTCGCCCAGTGCGGCCTCCTGGGCTGCCGATAATCGTCGGGATCGTCCGCGTCCATGTCGCCATAACTGGTGCACGTGGAAACGTCGTCCTCGAAACTGCGAAAAATGCAACGCGCGACGTCAAGCTTTTATATTACAAATGCAGCCGGGGCTCCAACGAAAGACATCCGAGACGCGGAATGCGGAAAGAAAAATTGAGAGAGAGAGAGAGAGGGGGGGGAGAGCGGCTCCAGGAAGTATGCTACGAGTTATGACAGTTTAATGGAAAAACAGCAATAACAGAGGTTTTATTAAATATTTCGCCGAGCGGATAATATAATTTCATCTCCTCCGCGTCGCGCGGAGTGGAAGGATAGGCGCTCGGGCCAAGGCGCGGCCTCTAAATCCCCTCGGAACAATAGATCAGCGGCGGGTCATCGTTACCGGCGACGATCCTTTTCGGCGCTTAACGATTTCGCGCCGCGTACCGCGGCGCCTACGGAAGCTGCTCGATGCATTATGAAAATTTATATCGCGGAAAATCACGCGGGAGCGCGTCGCGCGTCGGCCGCGCCGGAGGCCGCCTGCCCGCGCATTTGCATGACACGCGAATTCGTACGCGAGTCCGGCGGCGACCGATTAAATATTCATCGTCATTGTTTATAGAGCGGTCGAATTCGAGCGTCGCCACGTGATGTAACCGATTAGCGACGGTCCTGTACGCGCGCGAAAACATCACCGTGCCGCTAATGATTGTACGCGGCCGATTCCGCTCGCGTTCGCGTTCACGGGCGGATCGAGGGGCTGCACGCGAGCGAGAGGAGAGCCAATACCCGGATCCCTTCCGGTATTCGGCTCTCCGCCCCGTCACCGGTGATAAAACCGTCGCGCGAAATGGCGTGCGACATAAAAACCGACTTCGCGCGGGTGCATTACGTAAGCGTCGCGAGATCGGGGCGGAATTTTTATGCGTTTACAGCGCAAATTCGTACTTTACGGTGCGGTGAGCGCAGAAATGGTGTCAGGCGGCGGAGGGGTCGGGAAAGGGCGGCCGACAATGCTGAGAGATATACGCGACGCACCTGTGTACATTCCCGTTCGTTTTGCAACGGAAAACTAATATAACCGCGCCGCGGAAGCATCGCGGATACGATAATGCGCCCCGTGTCGGTAGTTTTTTTTTTTTAATGGAAAAAGAAGCCGTACGTATTGTCGTCCCACGACAGTAACGAAGATGAGCATTGACACCGATCGCTACCGCGTTTCAGGAGGAGATAATGACTGACTTAATCCTTTGAAGCACGGTGTAACACATAGACATAGTAAATATAGACTGAGCGTCCCATTGAATAAGCTGAAGCTTGTGAAGAGAGAGAGAGAGAGAGAGAGAGAGAGAGAGAGAGAGAGAGAGATTTAAGAAGACTTTCTTTCTCTGTCTTACACATCGTAAAAGAAAAGAATCGTGCCTGCGCAGTACTACACAGGCGTGATTCTCCCTTTTCACGATGGTGAGACAGAGAAAGAAAGTCTTCTTAAATCTTCTCTGTCTCTCTCTTCACAAGCTTCAGCTCATTCAATGGGACGCTCAATCTATATTTACTATGCCTATGGTGTAACATACATGTTACACCTCCGGAAATGAAAAAACCAACACTTCTTTCACTCCGATGTCTTTATCACATCGTAGCTGGAAGGTTTCCGGTTTGCTAATTCCGAATCTGAAGTCGAAATTCTAAAATTATCGACGATTGATTCAATATAGCAGCGCAAAGTTAGTTTTAATTTAAAAAAGTTTCTTGTCTACAAGATATCCTGTACTCACAAAATTATTCCTACAAATGACATTCTGAAACTGGGCGACAGGGAGTTTCTGAGATCACTGATTGCTAATTTGAAGTCAAAATTTGAAAATCCAAGATGGCGGATCCAATATAAAGAGTCGAAATTGTAAAAAAATGCAATCGATTTATCTGGAACTCGGTACTCGCAAGTTTTTCAGATTTACCAAATTCACAATGGCGGATCCAACATGACGCCTCAAAATCTGCACTTGAATTTTGTAAATCTGACACCAGAATCGTAATCAGCGACCCAAGAAACCCTTAAGTATTAAGTTTTAGAAAAATCCGCTGAAAGAAAACAATGTATACTTGAAAGGGTTGAGATAAATTGTCGCGCAATATGATTCTGGCGCGATTATACCACTTAATTATTTGAGAGAGAATTGGGAGAAAAGTTTCCAAGTTTTTCTCTGCTTGGCGGAAATTACGCGAACGAGCTGTGGCCCCAAGTGTGGCCCGTACCGGAAGTGCATAGCCGCGACGGGCGGTGCGCGCGCTCCGCTCTTTATTGGCGTTAACGATCTCGCGATGACGGCGGTATCGCTTTCGCACACGGGCAGCAGGCGGGCGGGTGTGCGCGGCAGCTTCAAAAACGAGACGTGACGCGGTCTGTAAATGTAGGACGACGATTACGGGTCGTTTCGAGCCCGTTTCAATGCGAAGAAGCCGGACGGAATCGCAACAATATGTCACACCGCACGAGCACACCTACTTACAACGACCGGTGCGGTCTCTTACATTGTGCACCTATTATCCACTTACGTCTCCGGGACGATACGCCGGAATTGCAGACCCTGGATGACGAGATCTGACGGCTTCGCGCCGAGCAGCTTAGACGCGTATCGCATCTCTCGTCACGTAGAATCCGCCGCAGCCCGAGACGAGAGGCGAGGCCCTAATCAGAGTAATCGAAACCGGTCTAACTAGACCGGTCTAATTAGTGGGTGAATTCAATTTTCGACGACGGCGGATTCGCCGTCTCGAGCGAGGGCCATTTTCGCGCACTGACATTTGAACTCACCGAAATTATGCCGGAAATTATACCGGTTTCGATCCCCCCCCCCCTCCGACTCTAATTTACGGACACGAAACGAATCTAATGCAGCAGCTTCCAGCGCTTTAGAGCAGCTCGCGGCAGACGTCGATTAGAGCTATTTGTAAACTGAGAGCCCCCAATTTCATCGACGTCGATTAACTAACTTGACCCTTGCTCCTTTCGAGACCCTAGTCCTGCCTGCGGTGCAGGTATGCAGCGTGACAATTCTATCAACAGCGGTCAATTAATATTAATTGCTAGCGCGATCGATCCTAAACTCTATCTAAGGTGATCTCGTATGGAAAACCGAGTAGGCATTTTAGAGCCGATTTTACTGTGACGAAAGCTCCAAAATACTCTGAACGTAACAGTTACATTTAATACATTTAACACACTTTGTAATATATTTCGATCTCTATTTTGCTGATAGTTTAATCTTTCTATTAAAGCTCAGTTTCTCTTTTAACTTTACATTCTCTCGTCCTCAGAACTGCGCTCCAGAAAGGAACGGAACGTTTAGTTAACGCGACTGACCTTGAATAGCGCGAAGAAATTTTGCTGCTGCATCAACGCGACGAAGCGAAGTGGTAAATTTGCGACTCGACAATGTGCAATTGACGTGCATTAGGCAAGCGACTCCGGAACGTCTCACGGTATCTTTATTGTTTGGAGATAATCGCTAGGATAGTTACAAAGCGCTCTCGAACTGCCGTCGCGGAGATCCACTGAAGGTTGCGTCGGGCCACAGCTTCATTTTTATGTGTCGCGTATGCGGTTCCAGTTTATTCGGAATGTTTGCACCAAGTGTTAGGTCCTACGTGAGAAACAGATGGGAGCTGGGGCTTCTTACGCGGTTTAACCATGCCGCTAATTCACTATCATGATGTGCATTCAGACTCGGAGATGAAGAGCTCTTACACGAAGGAATAATTTCATTAGATAAGACGAAGGGGGGGGGGGAGAAAAGATTTAAAGCTCAACGAGTGTCGATTACCTCGATTGTTTGCCAACTTTCGTAAGGAGCCGACAATCCATTGAAATTTAAGCGTTATCTTAAATACGCGCTATCACATATTTCTTAAAATACCTTCTCTTGTCTCTGACTCATTTTCGCCACACGTGTTTCTCACCACGCTGCATAAATACAGAAACTTCGACTTTATCTTAATTACTCGTGCTACAAAACGGGCGCTCTCACAATCTTGGCATAATTATTTCTTCAAAGACAAATAAATTGCCTTTTGAAGTAATGCTCTTTGAAGAAATAATAAAAAGAAATCCGAGATTAATCGCGATCTTTTAAGAACAGCGAACGCCGCGAGAACTGATCCGTCGTGTCCCTTCCGTCCGTCACCAAACGTCCGGGTTTTACGAGACAAGATGCAAACGTAGCCTGATCGTGTCTTTGTAAAGGCCTGGCCCTTAGCGCGAAAGCGGGCACGCGTGCGCTATCACGTGGAACGTGATTCACGGCGGCCGTTTCTTCGAAAGCGCCGCGGGCACAATCGTAGGCAATGTGTCTCACTTACGGTGGCGGATGTACCATGTTAAGCAGCTCCGACGGCGAAGTGGGAACTCTACGTATCGTGAGCTTCCGGCCGTCGGAAGAGCCCAGGCCGATCGACGCCAGGGACTTGATCGAGATCGTATCGGGGAACGAGCGGGCCTGACTCCCGTTGGCCTCCGCGTACAGGACGGAGGCGCAGGTGGGCGACAGCTGATGGCAGCAGGGACAGTGCTGGTGGCTGTCGTCCATGTGGAGGGCCCTTGGCGAACGCACGTTGAGACAACGATAACGATGCAGTGGATCGATGCCTCTGGCGCTCGATCTGCCGGGGCTGTGTCCGTTGTCGCGATCTGAACTCGACCCGGACTCGGCCTGGTCGACCATCAGCCGTGGCTGCAGCCGCCGACGATGACCTTTATCCCGGCGAACGCTCTCAGGAGTGTCGTCGCGATCGACCGCTCCTCTGACGTTGCTGCCATTGTGGGTTGGCACAACGAGGACCTCGCGTTCAACGGTGTTCAGCAAACGACCTCTCTCCTCCTCCGAAGACCACTCGGTCTCGATCTCGGGGCGTTTCTGGCGCTGACGGCGGATCCTGATCACGTCCGGGTCCGCGTCGTCGGATACATCGTCCTCCTCTTCGAACATCGTGCTCATTTTACGCACGCAGCCGGCCTGTTTACCGTGGAACTTACTGTGGGTAGCATCGCCGTGCTTCGGCAGGACGGGCTTATTGCCGTTACGCGGCTCGTCACTGATGCTGCCGCTGATGCCGCTGTCGTTGTTGCCGCTCTCGGTGTCCATCGCATGACCACCTCTACAGAGAGACACATATATATATATACATATATTATATGTACACTGAGGGAGGGGAAATCTCTCTCTTAGTGTTCTAGGAAAATTGGCTGTTATAATACTCCCATTTCGTGGAGAGATTGTTTAACGATACGCTAGATGAGTTGAAAGGAAAGGTGGTTTGTAAAGTTTGGAAGGAAAAAGAAAGAATCAAGAATCAAGAATGAAAATGTAAAATGTATGTAATGTTGAATGTGAGGATAAACAGAAAGATAAATGTGAAGGAGAATGTAAATAGTCAAACTAAGCTTAGGATATAGGGGATAATTGTATGATATTAACGATATTAACGGTGTGTAGCGTAAAATAGAGTAGGAAATAGAATTGGGTGCGTGTTAAGTTTGGATGGTATGAATGGATAAGACTTTTTTTGTAAACCAAGTCCCACTTTCTGGCTGTATGCTAAAGTGTAATAAAGATGATGATGAATACTTCCATTTCGAAAACCAGCTTCTTTCAGGCAGTGTCTTGGCTTTAAAATCAAAGTAAAAAGAATAACGGATAGTATTGCAACCTGGTATTACGTTAAATGAATTACGATTCATCAAAGTGATGAATCGAACGGATATTGGTTTGAATTTTAAACTAATTATATTTTAATTAAACTTTTGTCGATCATGTGGTAAAATCGTGCGGCAAAAGCTGGCGATTGATCCTGTGTTTAACAATATCGACCGATCTCTTTCGCAGGATCGTATCTCGAGTTTACACAATTCCCCGTTTTTCCGTTTCAACGCTCATCCCGGTCCTAAATGAGTGTTTAAGCAGAAAAACCGAAAATTGTGTAAAATCGAGGTACGACCTTGCGAAAGAGATCAGTCGATATACCCTGATTTTCAGCAGGACACGCTGATAAAAGAAAAAAGTATACAAATTACTAAGTAATGTATACACGCGCGCGACCGAGTCGAATTTTCAAAGGAAAAATCGACTCCGGATTACTGCATGCGGAATTTAGAGTAGGTACATTCGACGAGTCTAGGCCAACATAGAAAGAAACTTATGAATAAACGACGACGAGAGACGTCAGACCATTGTTCGGGCATGCTTCCGCCGATTTTATCGAGAAGGTGGTAGTGGGCGGCGAGGCAATAGCATACTCGTAGGGTTCAAACGAGAAGAATACGTTGGACCGTATCGAGCAGCGCGACCAAAGCGCATTCGGTTTGATAACCTGCTAGCGATTGACCATTGATGAAGTTCCAGCGTCGGCGAAATACTGTACCGCTCGCAGACTGATCATGTATCACGAAAAAATTGTTTAGAAGCATTGCTTTAAGGCCTGTGTTCGCGATGCTGGAGCTTGGTCCAAATTCTAACATCGTGGACACAGGCTTTTAAAAAAGTATTGGTAAGTTATAAGAACTTAGTTTCGTTACGTATATTTTCTTTCTCCTTCCTTGAGCAGAGATGTTTCTCATACAGATTTTTATGAAATTTTCAAAGCGCTCGATCTACATTTCGTAATCTATATACTCTCGCGAGTGTACCTCCGGATGTTTTCGATGAAATATTAAATTTAATACGCGTGTCCGTGAATCGTATTGTATAATACGTAACGCTTCCTGTGAGCGAGCTTTGAGTGGCGCGCGAGGAATGTCTCTCTGCGGCAGTTCGCACGATTAGCATAAATTGTCGAATATATTAGACACCGCGCCGTAACGAATACCAATTCCACTGACGAACGATTCGTTATACCACTAATAAAAATCACCACGAGTCGTATTTTACGGAACGTCAAGTATCCTCGCGATATAAATATTCATTACGTCTATTGGAACTAGAACTGTTGAAGCTGAAATAACCGGCTTGCGATTTTTTATCAAATTTATAAGGGTGCATTTTCAGAGACTGTCCATGACTTTTGCTACATGTATAAATGACTAATTGACCCATTTTTACGTTCCTCCATCTCTCTGTCCGAAGATACATACTTATAGAGGAAAGTCCCCTATTATGAGATAGGCTTCTAATATGAGATGGCGGGATTTCTGTGAAATTAATAGGCGTCATCTGTTGATTCCACCGTGAATTTATTGCCTTTGGAGTGAAATTTGTTTAGTGGAAAATTAATTGTTAGATTGTGTAATTGTTGCGAAAAAAGATTTGCGATTAAATTTGGGCACTGAAAACCTGCTATCTCATATTAGAAACCTATCTAACAGAAGACTTTTCCCTATAAATATAAATTTATTTAAATTATTATTTAAGTACATTTAAATAGTAAAAAACACTAGGTACATCAATTATCAGTAGTCCTACTATTAATATCGTTAAATAAGTCAATATTGTTAAAAAAAGATGTTCATTCAAACATCGTTTCTTTACAAATGTGGCAACTATTTGAAATCAGCGAACATGCGTATTCTCGTAGTTTCAAAAGCCTGTCGATTTGTTTTAGCTTACCTCAAGTGAGGTTTGAGTATACATTTCTTTACGTTAATAATATTTAATTGTACTTTATTTACCTGTCAAAATTCGATCTCTTCTCGTTTCTGCTTTAGCTTGTTTTAGCTTACCTCAAGTGAGGTTTGAGTATACATTTCTTTACGTTAATACTATTTAATTGTACTTTATTTACCTGTCAAAATTCGATCTCTTCTCGTCTCTGCTTTACAACTCAAAACCCGCTAAAACAACTTTCTTTCGTTTTGACGTAACGACGGCAAACGGCCACGTGACTGCGCGCTTACTCCTTGCAGATACGACCGACTATGCTGCGCGACTCTTTACGACGTTCTGATAGCTAGAGATAGTGTCATCGCAGGTGCGTGCGGCTATCAATCCAATATGATTTGTTACAAAATTCTCGCGCTCGTTCGCGACAATGTTTATTAATGTCATCCGACGTTCATATTCCGCACGGACAGTCGTTACGTTGAGCGATCGGTGTGGAATGATAATCGCACTGCAATTTCTGAAATCACTCAAATAAGTTAGCGAAGTTATTACGCGCGAGATCGGCAAACGAGGAAAAAATGAAGGAAGCAACAGTCACGAAAAATAATGCTCTTTTAAACACATACATACGTATCTTCGCCAATTATCGTCGTGTGTTTCACACGGCCGTGGATTCTCGCACGAATTCCAATTCGCGTAAATACTTTCGAGGACTCGGCATTGTTACGTAAGCAGCGCGAAAACTCTATTTTGCACTTTCGCTAATGAGGAGGAAGAATCGCGTCGCGTCGCGCCGCGAACGAGGGCCCCGAAACTCGGAGAGCGCGCGCTTTTCGGAGCGCGTTGTCGCAGGTAAGCGTCATACGGTGACACTTCCACGCGCGTCACGTGTCACGCGGAGTGCGTTACCTGTCAGATCGCAGCGTGCCTCGAAATCGGGATCGGGCGCGTCTCGACGAGCCGAGCAAAAGTCATCCGCGTATCGCTCGAGTGATAACGAGGCTACATTCACTGCGCGCACGATACGCGGCGCGCACACACACACACGCACGCACGCACGTATGCGCGCGTGCACGCGCGCCCGCCTCCCCGGGGTGTCACGTGTACTATCGTCCGCGGCGCGGCATAGCGCGCGCACGTTCCGCGTTCACTCCGTTTTGCAGTTTCCTCCAGTTCTTTCCAGTTTCTCCTTCTCGGAAAAGCGCGTGGCGCACGATCGCCGCGAAGCGATCGTTTCCGGACCGCGAAGCGACGACACCGCCGTGAACCCGCGTTTCACGGCGATCCGGGTTCATGTGTACGCCCGTGCGTCGCGATCGTCCGCGATCGTGACACGTACACACACGTATGTACGTACGTACACGCACCGACGTATGCACGCACGCACGCACGCACGTCACGTCACGTCACGTCACGTCACGCACACGCCACACACCGTGCGATACCCACACCGCGACGTCAGCGCTGTTGTAGGTGCGTGTTTCGCGACGCGTGCATAGTTGAGAGACTCCGAGTCCGAATCGTATGACTCGCGTACAACTCGGCCGGTTCTGGGAAGGGGGACCGTGATATCCTCTTCTGAATGCGTGCCCACCTCTCTCATGGTCAGCGCGACGAGCATTTAGCGGATCACGTAGGGGGATCGAGGTATCAATGTGTGTGCTCGGCCGTGCGATCGGAGCGAAAGACGGGCAGATCGACTCGCGGGATGACTCCAAGATTCTCGCGGACCCCGGGACCAAATTTTCAATGTGTATATCTCGGCGATACGAGGGCGGGGAACACGCGATAACGACCGCGGAGGGACAAAAAATTGATATCCATGCAGTCCCAGCTTGACAAACCCGAACAATATGCGAGCGTTCGGAGTCGACGTTGGAGACGTCGGATTTAAATGACTTTCGCGACAAAGTTTTTGTCTTCGGTCCCTGCGTAATTAACTGATCCGCGGATTTGTGTGTTCCACGTTGCGCGAATAAAACTGTGGAGCTTGTGGTTATCTGCACGTTTTCGTATGCTTCGGAATGATATCGTATCTATTAACACGATTACGCGGTGATCGACCGACTTTTAACGTAGGCGATTGACGGCCTCGCATATTCTTCCTGCCACAAGGTCGCTTTCTCAAGTCCAAAGCGGTTGTCTATCCGTCGTTAAAGTACCATCGACATTTAGTTATCTTTCCTGTGGATCTGGTAGAAAGTGTAGGCGAAAGAGCCCGTATATTTACAGATGTGGATTGGGTAACGAGTGTTTCTAACACTACGTGACTACTTCATTATTATGCGTGGAACTTCTCAAGTTGTTAATTCGCTTATGCTTAACGAGACACCGAATACTGAGTCCTAGTATATCATCCTAGTGTAGACCAGTACAGACTGGTATGGACTAGCTTTATCCTACGTATAGACAACAAGCGAAACACTGGCTCTCCCCTGTTCAATAGCAACCGTATCTACTGCGGTGATTTGAAATCTGCACGAAGCAAACCGTGTCAAGTTGCATTTTGCTCAACACGCAGTCAGCTTGGCGACAAATGAAATTCTATCGTATTTATATTCTAATTATTTCAGCGAAGAATGTTATTTTGGTTTTATCCCAATAGGTTTTACGAAAAACGATAACAGAATACTTTTATAAGATATGTGAAAGATTATCAGTTTATTAAATTATATTATTAAATAGATTAGATGAAAGATGAATAAAACAAGTTATTCCTGATTCATTCTTCTAAACAATACTTTTCCGAATGTTTAAAGAAAATGTGAAACGTTATTAGAATAAAAAATAAAACTACACTGTACATACAAATGAGATTTGTTTAAGAAGTTTTCAAACTTTGTCTTTACAATTTTTTCAGGCTTATAATGAGCTAATTTAATTTTGTGCCTTTCGAAATATATTCTTTCTCGCGAGCATTCTCTATGAGGACGCCATGTGCAAATTTCTAATGTGCACCCTCTTTTATAAGATTTGCATTCTCTCTCTCTCTCTCTCTCTCTCCCTCTCTAGACATGTAATAAAATATATGGACAACCAAATTTGTCGAGAACAATCTGCTACAAATTTTGTCAGCAAAAAGAGTACAAGTTTGATAAAAAATTTGGAACAATTTAATTATATCAAAATGCTAGTAGAAATAAAGCACATCAATAAAATATCATAGTTAATGATGAAAACTTAAACTTTAATATACTTGCAGTCTAACATAGATTGTCAGCAAAATTTTTATATTTTGCAGTTATATACGTATAATTTATATTTCAGCATTTTACTTTTCATTCCGTTGCCGTATGCAAGTTTCGACATGATAAGACCATACATATTCAACGTATACATCTGCGGGATGCGAAATGAAGAAGATTGGTTTTTCGTTCGTGTCGCTACATCGATTTTTCGCTGTGTTTTAGAGTTCTAAAAATCCAACGTAGCGCACCATTCATGAAAGAAGGCCGCGCGAGTTTTTTTGTGCTTTAGTAGGCGTGTTAATTCTTTCTAATCCCCAAAAACTGGTATGAAACACGTATTTTGAAGATAAGTACCATGAATGAAGGCTGCGCGAGTTTTTTGTACGTAATTTGGCTGCAGACGCGCTAATCCCTCCTAATCCCTAAAAAAAATTGGCTTAAAAACACACGAGACACGCTGTTCGAAAGATAAACATCGCCGTGCAAGACGCATATGCGCGCCATCTACTATCTCTGTTTTAGGTTAGGATCGCGAGTCGATATAATCATCAATATCTTTGTATACAAAAATCATTGCAAGATGATTTTGGGCTCGTTGGATAGTTAAGACTTCAACGCTTTTCACGAGATAAGAATGGCTTATCTTGGACCATTAGTTTATGAAATATCCTTGATTAACTCCAAAAATAAAATTAATTTTCTTCTGAGATTGAGATTATGAATTAATCTTCGCATAGAATAACAGTAGTAAGAAGATCTTGAATTTGTTTAAAAGCTAAAATTTTTGCGTTTTCAAAAATCTAATTTACCTTAAATAACTGTGAAACATCATCGATCAATTACAAAAATCAATATTGTTCTGAAAATCAATCTCCATCTGTTATAGTAGAACTCGCTATAGTTTCGAATTAATTATTATTCGAATAATTCGAATAAATTAATTATTCGAATAATTATTATTATTTTACGGATAATGTTTACTTCAAGACAATAATTCTTTTAATTTTAACAAGTTAAAATGAAACAATTGTTTAATAAATTACGGTTACGTGCATATTCAATATAATACAATTACACATGCGACTTTGCTTGCTAGTTCTAATGTATTTTACTTCAACTTAAATGGAATAATCGTTTCTATGCAAAACAATACAATTCATATATTGTTATAAAATTCTCTATACAGTACATGCAGTTTATTCATTTTGTAAGTCCAGGGCTATGATTTGTCTACAATAATTATTATCAGTAAAACATTTCTCTAAAATAGACAAATCTCGTGCAAATAGTCTTTATTATTTACGAACAAGAGCCGTTTGAAAACGTGAGTTACGAAGCTTTCTATTAATAAAAAAAACGAATAAGTAATGTTTTTACGTATCTTGGGTGGTTTTCCCATTCGGCTCACGCCCCGTTTAACGAAGGTTCCGTTTCCTTTCACCGCGATTCCTTTTACGCGATAAACATTGATTATCGCGTAATACCCTTGTCTACACGTGCACTTGCGGTCGCGCGCGCTACCATACGGCTGGATAGGATCACTGGGCCAAGGACCAGCCTGGCGGCTGTCTGTGGGTTCAATTCCCACGGAAGACCGAGTAACGGGTGCTTAAGACGCCGGTGTCATTACCCTATGGTTAAGTGACAGGTACAATTGAGCGTAACCTTTGCTTCCCTCGCGCTCCAAGAAGGAAAATATCCGCCCGCGATGAGAATTTTAGCGCGATCCACCGTTCGGATTTGTGCTCGGTTAGCCGCGGCAGCACGATCGTTGATTTCATAGTCGAAACTTCCCTGTAAATTCGTAAT